TAATATTCTAATTACACTGAAGGTTGTACAATTAGTGACTGCAATAAAATGGAATTACTTACTAAAATCCACAAAAAAGTAACTGAGAAATCTTGGGAATCTGAAGTCAGATGAAAAACATTACAGACTAGCAGAATAAAAAGAACTCAATTGTGATCGATTGACAATGATGGCTTATTCTCACTTTGCTCCAGTCACGTATTTTAATTAAAAATAAATTTTCATTCAAAATAAAATCAAATACTTTTAGGAAATATGCATTGTTTCGTGGCCTTTAATGATTTAAAGCACTGCTGAATACTAACCACTGATATTTTACATCATTGTAACATTGTGCAAGAAGTCATTCACAATCTGAAAAAAATGTCATGCAACCTTGCTCCCAACAACAGTTAGGAGAAATGTTGCAATTGCTTGTAGTGGCTCTGACTGGTGAAATCTGAATATCAAGGAACCTCACTAACTGTTTTCAATGTTACCAGGAATAGGCATTAGAATGAGAAAATAAGAAATAGTGAGTAGGATAGGCCAGGAAGCCTTTTGGGCCTCCTCGGCCATTCGATAGGTCATGGCTGATTTCCAACATCAACTCATTCACTTAGCATCCACAGTTCCCTGCAAGAAGAGAATTACAATGATTCACAAGCCTCTGCGTGAAGAATTTTTTTCTCATTTCAGACCTAACTTGCCAAACCCTTACCTAGAGACTGTGCCACCAACTTCTCATCTCCCTCTGCATTGGAAACAGCCTGTCACCATCTACCCTGTCATGCCCTCACAGAAACGTATGTGTTTCAATGAGATCATCACGCAAACTTCGAAATGTCCATTCTGCTCAATCTCACCTAATAACAACTTTCTCATCCTAGGATCTAGTGAAATTTTGTGCTCTGCTTTTAAGGTAAGGGTATAGCTTGTTAGGTACCAGGGCAAAACCCCAACACAGAATGCTAAACGTGATTTCATCAAAGCACTACACAATTGTAGCAAGGCTTCTAACTGATTTCCTTGAACGCCTTTGCAAAAGGACCAACATACCATTTATCTACTCAATTTCTTGCTGCACTTGAATTTTTACTTTATGTATTTCACGTTCAGAAACACCCACATTCCTCTGAACACCAACATATGAACATTCGTCACGATTTAATACGGGTATTATTTTTCTATTCTTCCCACCAAAGTGAGTAGCTTCATATCATTATTATTTTGAAACCATTTCCCCCAAAAAAGGTTTCTATCAAATAAATACAGCCAAAGGACAAAAAAAATCTTAAAATGCAGTCCATGAACGAAATGATAATTTTCTTTTCAAAACTATCACTGGTTCCTAATGCAATCTACAACAAGCGTCCAACTTGAGAAGTTAAATCATTCAGGGCAGTGAAATGTGGCTGGGATTCCGGATACTAGTCCGGGTGATATTGTGACTCCCTAGATTGAAATAATCCTTTTTAATGTATACCCAAGCTCCTGAAACATTCTGAGCAAAACTTCATTCCTAGTTCTAACCATGTACGCGAACCGTGACAGCCGGCTTCTTCCTCCTATGCTGGAGTTGCACTTTCAGGTCTAAAACTCCCATTCAGTGTCACCACTGGGGCCCAGTCTTGAAGACAGAGCATCATTGTCTTTGTGTTTTCCTCGTTGAACGTTCTGGCTTTGCGAGTGACAATAAAGACGACGTTAATCGAGTGAGTTGTATCCTGAAAACCAACTCTGGGAGAGTTATTATTTTCTCTACTCCACAGAGTGGCAAAGAGAAACCGAGAGAGGTCACCCTTTCTGATTGGGGGGGGGGGTGTTGGAAAGCCTGAAAAGGCTATTGTCTTCAAGTGAATTAACCTCCCCTCTCCCACACTGTAACAAAACTAAGAGGCGAATGGGATAACGCAGCTTGGAGCTGGATGAGCACAGCAGGCCAGGCAGCATCAGAGGAGCAGGAAAGTTGACGTTTCGAGTCGGGACCCTTCTTCTGACACTATGAAAGAGCTTTCATTTTCAAGAGGGCTAGATTCCGCAGGAGGTGAAAGGAACTGCAAACAAGAGATTTGGGGAGCAGGTGACTGGATATTTGATTTTTTTTTTGTGGGGGGGGGGTTTGCAAAGAGAGAGGAAACAGTTGGAATATCCCTGAGATCGCCCTAAATGCACACACCTTCACCCAGCCAGGGGGCGACGGGGATTGACTGACTCCTCACTTCCTGAGCACTGTCCCCACACCTGACTCTCTTAGCAGCGTAGCATGGCATCCTCCACGTTTCATATTCTGACTGCCAGGAACGCGAGCAATGAAACAGCCGCCCTGCCCTGACTGAGCCCGCTACAAATAGCCGCTGTGTTGGCGTTTTACATGAGGGAGGGAACAGCTCTTGCCTGCGGGTGGACCGGGGGTGGGAAGACGCGGGCAAGCCTCAAGTCTGTGAGCTGAATGTTAACGGGACTGCGGGCGCCACAGAGCGGCTCAGATCCACCACCTCTTTCTCTCTAAGTCTGTGCGTGTCTCTCTCTCTCCATTGAAAGATCAGCCAGTCAGTCCAGCTCTGGGTTAGCCACAAACTGATCCCGAATCCTAACCGTTCTCAGTTCGCCCATCGGTTACTGTCCCACCCCAGGAGTGTTGGAAAGGTGCCTTGTCCTTGACGTGTGCCTGTGAATATACACACAAGTGCAGGTGTATGTAGGAACAGCAAACCCGAAGCAGGTGGAAACAAAACACCATCGTGGCAACTGGGGTGCAAATCTACTCCCAGAGGAGCTGGTCCAGAATGGAACTTGCATCCATGTTTCAACTTGGGGGGGTGGGGAAGCCCCATGGTATCAACCTACTGTTTTGTCCGCTTCGGCTCCACAATAACATGAGCGTGTCATTGTCATATCAACAGGGAAGTCCTGTCTGCGTTTCTATCCCATTGTTAGCCCCCATTCTGGTTTTCAGAGCGGCTCATGAGTAAAACTGTCCTGCACAGTTGCGGGTTAAAGGGTTAGCCCCACCAGCGGCTCAGTCGCAAGTACTGACTGGGGAATAAATACAGCTACTCCCGTGTGAAAGCACAACATGCTCATCGCACATTTTCGGCTCCCATTGAAGAGACTTGGCCCGCAAGAGGTGAACAAATCCGACATATTCCCCCGTGTCTTCGCTATAACGAAGATACGCGTTTTGGAATAGGCGATGAATGCGGTGGATAGCAGGGGCAGACTGTATCGAAACACCCCCCCACTTACTCACTCTCAGCTCGGCCCCTCATGACCCAACCAAACAGGAACCCCCTCCCTCCCACCCAACCCCCACGTTTCCACTCCGCTCTCCAACTGTGGGGGAGTGCAGGATGATTCATCAATCTCGTGACAACAACAGTATTAAAACAAAACACAACACAGCAGCCAAAACATGAATGGGAAAAGACGACGTGGAAACCTCTACATTCGCACGCTTCCTGCCTTCGCTTAGCGCCGGTGGAGAGCGTTCCCCCACCCCCCGCCGCCCGCAGTGTTGGGAAACACTGGGCCCAGCGTTGCTGTGATGACAGGGAGAGACCGGGTCTGAAACAAATATTGTGAGCATAGAGTGTAAAGGGTGACAGGAGTTTCTGCTGAATCAGGCAGTTGCCCAGGGTTCTGGAGGCAAGTAATCTGCTGAAGGCGTATGTGCTTTCCTCTTGCTACGGGGGAGGGGGGGGGGAGAACGGTATTCACTGATGGAGTGACTGACAGATCACTCATTTAGTTTTCAGCTTCGGATTTCTCAGACCATTTTGCTGCTTCCACAGCAGAGTGTCTGGGGGCGCTGGTTTAGCTTCCCCGTGGTTTGTGTTTGTATGTGGCGAGTGAGGGGTGGGAGTGGGGGTGGGGGTTGGGGGTGGGTGTGTGAGGAGGGGGGACGGTGAATATGTACGTGCCTCCTCCCTGGGCTGCTTCGGAGCTCTTATTGCTTTATAACACAAGCACACACTCAGCTTTCAATCAGAGCGGAGAATGTATGCTATTAACTCAGGGTTTTAAGCATTTCCCGCACTTTCCGTTTGCATTTCAGTCTCCCAGCCTCCGCAGTAGACTTGTTTATTTATGCATAGGTAAAACAAAATGCCACCCGCACTCAAATCCTCGGCCTTCCAGGTACATCAGCATCTGGAAGCGAGAACAAGTGTCGGGTTTATAAATACAAGGGAGCCCGAACTTCGAAGGGGACGGCTTCCCACCAGCAAAAGCGGTGGGAAGGACGCTGGGCCAGCCAACGTTTCTCCGCCAGTCCTGGATTAAATATCGCTATTTGCTCCCTCTCGGTATTTGGCAGTAGCTGCATTGGTCTGATGTTGCACAGTTAACGGAGGGGGCGGGTGAAAGGGTCACACACACACACGGATATGCAGAAAGCACTTCAGTGCGAACAGGGGAGCCCAGGTGGAAGAGAGTGACTGACAAGGCTGAGATTCCACACACACACACCCTCCCCCCTCCCTCACCATGCCCTGCCCTGCCTTGCCTGCCTACATTTTGCAAACAGCAACTTGCTGGCGGCGGCTTTCTGAAGCAGTACAGCCTGCAATCCAAACCGCATCGGAACATGACCCACACACACACACACAGAGCAGCAGCAGAACGCCAGCGGACAAGTGCACTCCATAGAAAGCACTCTTTTAGCACGCTTGCACTGGAATCTTTAACAAATGGGAATATTCAGAAGCACCGGCTACGGAAGAGGAGGGTGAGGGATGATCCTAAATAGACTGACACTGAGGGTTGTGGTACCCAGATCTGAATGGAGCACAGCATTGTTAACATCCATTACAGCATCTGCCAATTCAGTGGCTACAATATCGGCATTTTATTAGACAAGATTGTCCCTTCCCCACCCCTCACACCACCATCCCCACACCCCTCTCCACCACCAACAACCCTCTCCTCACAATACCTGCAAAAAAATAAAGCGACAGTAACAAACGCTGAGGCTACAGTCACGCCACCGTGCATTTCGAACCCAGCTCAAATGCATGTACCTTTCATCCAGTCCACCACTTGCTTGGGCGTCCACTTGCTGATGGGTTCCATCACCAAAGCCATGGGTGAAGAGTTGTGTGCGTTACACGCCAGGCAGAGACGGGAGATGGGGGGGGCGGGTGCGAAGAGAAGAGAAGACGGGGTCTTTCACAGCATGGCTGGGACACAGAGCGGAGTGTGTGTGTATAACAGAGACACAGAGAGAGCGGTGGTCAGACAGAGCCCCCGTGGCTCGATGCACACCGCACTGATCCTATCGAGATGTTAGCAGCAGCTTCAGCGCACGCTGGCTGCGGTAACCTCAGACACGGTGCGCCGGAAATAGCGCAATATGCAAAGTCAGGACTTGTCCCTCTTCACTCCCATCCTGCTCTTCCCAAACTCTCTTTTCCTACGTGTGTGTGTGAAGGAGAGGGGGTCTGAGCAGAAAGACAACCCCGAAAGCTGAGTAGGGGCCACAGGACTTTAACTCCTACCTCCCCCGGTTCAACCCAATACATAGAGAGAAGGGTTGCTCCTGCTTCTTAGGGAACCGTACAAGAACGGGGAGCTGCAACATCACACAGACTCCCAAACGATGGTGCATATCGATAACCTGACTGTGAACTCACCAACAGCAGGAAAAAAAATGTGCAAGCTCGCACCAGGTGTTGACGAGAGGGGAAATAAATTCACACGTGCTGACCCCCCCTCCCCAAGTAACTGCTGCCCTCCGAGGGCAGGAAAAAGAGAGCTCCTCTCGGTCCCACACTCCCACTCATGGGCGAAGGCGGGTGGGTGGTTGTATTTCACACCTGAAACTGTGCGGGGGAGTCCCGGTAAAAGTCATCGTGGTGTTGGGATGGACGCCGTCAGTAGGACACACATTGAAAAGGAACAGTTTATAAGGGTATGGACTCTACAGGCAGCGTGTCGAAAGTGACAGGACTAGTTTCCTTCGGAAGGACTGCATAGCAAAACGAGCCCGTGAGAAATGTACTCACATCCAAATGCTACATCTTCAAACATTTCAACAAGTAACCTGCTTCTTAGCGCCTGCCTACATCTCAAACTATGGTGGATTCATTGCAAAAGAAACGATAGAGCCAGTTTGGCCAGTGATTCGGCTGACACTCCCCATTGGTTTCCAACCTTTACTTGCTGGAATACGAGGGAGCAAAGATGTTACATTTACGCAGATTGTTTACATAGGAACACAGTAGGCCATTCAGCCTCAAGCCTTCTCCATTCTAGACCACGGTGGTCATTCACCGTAATACCAACATCCCCCCTTAAGCCCATGTATCTGGAAGTCATTAGAAACTGAAACATAATAGTCTCTGTCTTGATTGGCGTCTGTGGCTGAACCTCCACAGATCACAAAGACAAGGTACTCATTAACACATTATTTCAATGATTCAGTGATTTTCGATCACAACATTTTAAAGGCTGGGCGCATGAATAGGAAGGGTTCAGAGGGATATGGCCCAAATGCTGGCAAGTGGGCCTAGATTAATTTAGGATACCTTGTCGGCGCGGGCGAGTTGGACTGAAGGGTTTGTTTCTGTGCTGTATATTTCTATGATCCTATGGTTCATTTACAGCCATAAGCCTCCACACCAACTCTTGCTTATGACCACTGGCCACGCTCGGAGCGGCCGGCAGTTCATTCAACTACGGGATACATCTTTAACTTCGCTTCACTCAAGGGCTTTGGGGGTGGGTTGTTGTTGGTGGAGAAATGACAACAATGCGGAATACCTCCAAAGCTCGGGCGACTAAATCCTTCATTTTTTTAAAAAAACATCCATTTACATATTATGTACAAAGCAACTCGGGATGCTGAATATACCCAAAATGAAGCCTCTGGATTATATTGTGATGATGGATGTGTTGCGTGGACCGGATTATTCTCACGCTATCACTTGCCTTGGATGTTCCCTCGAAATGACGTACTGATTAAACATTTTGTCAAAAAAAAGAACCATTATTGCCATGTCAACTAATTCAGAAAACATTTAACGCGTAGACTTGCAAAAAGGGCTGCATGACATGCAGGAACCAACTCAAATTGTATTGACATGCACTGGGGTACTCGGGGTCTATAAAAGTTGGAGCTCTGATGGTTTTGTTGATGGATACTCAGCATACCGAGTTTGGTTTTCTGACATACACTGGCGACTTTTTTACGTGCAATGGTCGGGGGGGAATCCTTTCGAGAACATCACATGACACAATAATTCGCCTCTTACTCGCCCAGAAAGGTACTCAGAAAATTGTGCAGTACTCTTTCCCTACAACGGTAAACTGATACTAAGGAGCAAGTACAGTTCTTGATTCTTCCTCCCAGTTATTTACAATATATTGTGCGTTTCCATGGGCGAATTTGGAGTACTTGCTTATGGGTTCGCGAATCTCATTTGTATTCTTAAACACTAACAGAAATTGCCGGAGAAATTCAACAGGTCTGGCAACATCTGCGGAGAGAAGACAAGAGTTAACGTTTCGAGTCCAGCAACCCTTCCTCAGAACTGTATTATTTGTATTCTTCCCCTTTTGAAACTTTACTTTTATGACTGACAGGATTGGGTGAGATTTCCTCCCAAGCTCCTTAGATGCTATGCCTGTTGCTGTTTTTGCCATACTGCCACAGAGAGATGCAGAAAGGCCGTCAGACTGCGACGGGAACCCTGCTTTTCACTCCACAGAGGGGATCAGCAAAGGTTCCAGTTTATCCCCCTCGCGCTTTGCAGTGGGATTAGCCGTCCTGTAAACATACCGTCATTCGACGCTGTTCCAGACTCGCCGAGTCTAGCCCTAAGTGATGAACGGCAAATAGCCTTAAAATCACCTACAGCCTTTATTTTAAGAAGGTCCGGTCTCAGCCAGGGAAAGAAAAATGATTCCAAATCGTTATTTCAAATGCTTTAACTGAAATCTTAAATTGTACAAAATACCGAATTAAACCCCTCCAGTTTCTCTCATCGCATTGTTACATGCAGTGGTTCCGTCTGGCTGTCATATGATGTAAATATTCACAGCACATACTGGGCATTGTAACCGCATACGATAGAGTAGCAAATCTAACACAAACCTTTTGAATTCATCTCTGATCTACTCGATTGGCATATTTAGTGATCATTTTTGAACAATTGTGCATTTGTTGCTTTGACTTCACCATGCTATAACTAAAGGCGTTTCTTTTTGTGAATCTAGGAAGATAGTTAATGTGTGATGAATCTGGTCAGTTTTGTGATAGGTGTTTGTATATTTGAAGTGAATTAGTTACTTAATTGATCTCTACTGGTTACCTTTGCTATTTGAAATTCCTTTCCATTTTATTCTGAAGGCTCATTGGTTACACCAAAAAGGTAGCTATTTGAGTCAAGGACAATTGTTTCCTCCATTGATACCTGATGCTTTGGAAGTTTTCAGTATTTGTGTTAGCCGCAAAACTCAACTAAATATTGATATTAACATCTTTTTTTCAGTTATGTAACATTTTCTATACTCAAAGCACTTGCATGTTATGCAGATTATGCTCTCTGACAGATTGCAACAATTATGTACCCTAACATTTTGATGTGTGTAACTATGTTTTTGTATTCACTATGTAATGGAGGCAAAGTATTAACCTAACAGGAAATAACATTATCATACTCTCACAGAATCCCTCCAGGGCTCACTAATTCCACATCGACCCTCCAAAGAGCAACCTATCCAGACCCAATTCCCATCCATTCCCTGTAACTGATCTACATAGCCTGCACATCCCCAGACACTAAGGGCAATTTAGCATGGCCAATCCATCTAACCTACACATCCTAGGACTGTGAGAGGAAACTACAGCACCTGGAGGAAACCCACACACACAGGGAAAAACTGCAAACTTCACACAGACAGTTATAGAGTCATATAACATGAAAACAGACCCTTCAGTCCAACCAGCCCAAACCAAACATAGTCCCAAACTACAACAAAAAGAGAAGTTGCTGGAAAAGCTCAGCAGGTCTGGCAGCATCCATGGAGAAAAAAAAATCAGAGTTAACGTTTCGGGTCCGGTGACACTTCCTTAGTCCCAAACTGAACTCGTTCCACTGGCTTGCTCCTGATCCATATCCCTCCAAACCTTTCCTGCTAATATACTTATCCATATGTCTTTCAAACATTGTAATTGTATCCACTTCCATCACTTCCTCAGGAAGTTCATTCCACATGTGAACAACCCTCAGTGTAAAAAATTTGCCCCTCATGTCTTTTTTAAATCTCTCTCCTCTCACCTTAAAAATATGCCCCTTTGCATTGCTATCTCCCATCCTGGGAAAAGACAACTACTGCCATTTTCTGAAGAAGGGCCCGACCCGAAACGTCAACTTTCCTGCTCCTCTGATGCTGCCTGGCCTGCTGTGTTCCTCCAGCTCCACACTATGTTAACTCTGACTCCAGCATTGGCAGTTCTTACTATTTCTACACTAACTCTATCCATACCTCCCATTATTTTATAAACTTCCATAAGGACACCTCTCAACTTTCTATGCTCTAGTGAAAAAAGGCCAGGCCTATCCAACCTTTCTCTCTAACTCAAGCCTTCCATACTCGGTAACATCCTGGTAAATCTCTTCTCAACCCTCTCCAGCTTAATAATATCCTTCCTATAATTGGGCAACCAGAACTGGACGCAGTACTCCAGAAGAGGTCTCACCAAGGTCCTGTACATCACAAACATGACTTCCCAACACCTATACTCAAAGGTCTGAGCAATGAGGGAAAGCCTGCTAAACACCTTTTTAACCACCCTGACTATACGTGACGCAAACTTCAAAAAATTATATACCTGAACCTCTAGGTCCCTCTGTTCTACAACACTACCCAATGCCCGACCACTAATTGTATAAACCCAACCCTTGTTTGTTGTACCAAAATGCAATACCTCACAAATATCCAAATTGAATTCCATCTGCCATTTTTCAGCCCATTGACCCATTTGATCAAGATCCCTTTGTTATCTTAGAAATCCTTCTTCACCGTCTACCAAGCCACCAATTTTGGTGTTGTCTGCAAACATACAAACCATGTCTTCTATATTCTCATCAAAATC